TATCCTCTTAAAATTACAGTCCTTTAGCTTCTGAGATACTCGAGTTATCAGCTTGCCCGAAAAAAATTTTGGCCGTCCCGTACGCGGGTACCACGCTTACCCGGGGGCTGGATTTGAGCTCACCAATACCCATTTGGACGGTAAACATCCTCCCAATATTTCAGCGTTCTAGTTTCTCAGATCCCCGAGTTATGAACTTGCCCGAAAAAAATTTTGGCTGGCTCGTACGCAGGTACCACGCGGGTAATGGCGCCAGTTTTAGGGATTGGGGCCCGTACGTACATGTAGATTAAGTTCCCAAAGTTTCAGCCCTGTAGCTTTTGTAGGTCTTGAAAAACCGTGACAGACGCACACACAGACAACCTCTCGTCGGTATTGCATAGCTGCAAAAAACGCATAAAAAAATAGGAATGAAAGGATGTGGTATCTTGCCTTGTAAGGCAGATACACAGTGGATGTGCTGCCAGGCTGAACCTAGAGCGCAAGGACTAGTGGTGTAGTGGTAAAAAACACTGCGTCTAGAAGTGAAGAGGGGTGGTTCGTTTCTCTCCTGGTCCAGGACAGTTTTTGAAAAAGAGCTCCGTTCACGACAGAAGGGGTGAGCGGAGGGGAAGCTCAGAAGCGCTCAGATAATTTTTTGTTTTCGAGGAAATTAGCCATTTCTGAATCTACAAATTTTTGCAGGGATTTTATGGGTGGATTAATTGACCACATAGATGCAGCGACTGGTGCCAATGCATTGGATATTGCACCAAATGCTATACCAGCAGATGTGGATTTGATTGCGAGCAGGGAATGGCATGATTCTTGGCCAAATTCCGAAAGTGCTACGTTACCGCATCTCGACAGCGATACAATCGCAAATGTATTGCAATAATTCTTTTTCTTATTATTGTTGAAATAGCCTGAATCAAGGAAATGTTATAAATATGCGTGAGCTTAACCCATGCCGTTGGTATTGGTGTATCGGATGAAGACAGGATTAGGTTTTTGAGAAAAATGGTGGTATTGACGGATCTAGACTCTGTAAAATGCGCAAGGCAGTCTGGATGGGTTCTCACTGTCTACATTTTTAACCTCCAAACCCAAATTGTTGTTTTCAGCTTAAACTGGAAATGCTGGTGCTACAAAATAACCAGATTTGCGGATTAAGATTAAAGGACCAAGCTAGCTGTTTCGGACCCATAGAAGCATCCTGTAACATCACTAATGTGTGACCTCACATCGATTTTTTGGGAGTTTGTCGGTTTGAATGCGAGCTGCGAATTTCGTTGTCATGCATAAGCGCAGGGTTTTTTTGATTGGGTTTTTACGTGTCGCGAAGCTTACCAGCTTGCTCACAACGTTTTCTTTCTTGAGCATCATAAATCCATATAGCTCCCCCCC